GTTCCTGGGTCGATGCCCCGGCCGACCACATCATCGTCGGACTCAAAGAGCTCCCTGACGAAGACTTTCCCCTTAAGCATACACATATCACCTTCCTTCACGTCTTCAAGAACCAAGGCGGCTGGGAGCGAGTCCTCGGCCGCTTTCCAAGGGGAGGAGGAACCCTCCTTGATCTCGAGTTCCTCCAAGACGAGCGCGGGCGCAGGGTCGCCGCATTCGGATACCACGCTGGCTTCGCCGGTGCAGCTCTCGGCCTCGAGGTCTGGGCTCACCAAGCACTCAACCCCGGGCGCGAATTTGGCGGCGTTGAGCCCTATCCTAACGAGAAGGCACTTATTGAACATGTCAAATCTGCTATTACGCAAGGAGCCGAGAAGCTAGGTAGACAACCCAGGGTTCTTGTGATTGGTGCCCTGGGTAGATGTGGGAAAGGGGCGGTAGATCTCTGCCTGAAGGCGGGGCTGGATGAAAAGAATGTCCTTCAGTGGGACATGGCTGAGACGGCTAAGGGCGGTCCGTTCGTGGAGATTGTTGAGTCGGATATCTTCATTAACTGCATTTACTTGATGCATAAGATACCCAACTTTGTCGATACCCAGAGTCTGGCGAGCCCGAATAGGAACTTATCGGTTGTGGTGGATGTGAGTTGCGATACGACGAACCCGAACAACCCGATACCAATTTATAATGTTAATACAGCTTTTGATAAGCCGACTCTTCCAGTTGAGATTTCGTAGGTTTTTCCCGTACACTTTTTCCTTTAATATAAGTAGCTAATTTTTTTGCCGACAGTGGCCCACCAGCACTCTCAGTCATTTCAATCGACCATCTCCCCTCTCTCCTCCCCCGTGAGGCCTCGGAGGCGTTCAGCAAGGACTTGATCCCAACGTTTCTGCAGTTGAAGGATCGACACACTGCCAGGGTATGGACCGATGCTGAAAGGTTGTTCAAGGAGAAGGTTGCATCTATTCAATCTCAGTAGCTCTGGTTACGGCAGTGATTGAAGCATAGGATAGGTGTAGAGGAGGCTTTGGGTAAAAGTACTTGATTTCTTTTTGTCGATGCACAATACAAGGCGCTTAGGGTATATCGAAGTGTGTTGAATAGTGAGTTTCATTGAATTCACATCAATTGTGTTCGAATGCGAGAAACCGGAAGTCAATCATAGGAGTCAATCCATCGTGGATAGGCTTTTTTTTCTACTAGGGCCAGAGCAAGTGAGCCTGCAGGGAATAAACATATGACATCCAGGGCTCAAATACCGTATTCGCTTGCAGTATAAACATAATTGGATTGACAAAGGCCACTTGCTTTATGCCTTCAAATCCATCACACGCTTCATCTCCCAACAGCAAGTTGAATATATATGATATTTGTAACCGTTGCTCAATTTTCGTTTGCAAATTGCCAAGCATGAGTTACTGCACCTATTACCCAGCTCCGCGCTTGGAATTACCCTGAACTGCAATTGCTCTGCCTATAGTCAAAAATAAATATTTACTTTATAATTATTATGTCAATCCCAACTTTATATACCATGTCCCACTATAGTCTCTTCAATTTACCTCGCCATACCTTTAAGTATTACAGAAAGTCCTCACCTTCATTTTTTTGAATCCAGGAGCAGTCGCTCATAAAGACTAATCGATATTGTTACAAATTTGTCTGTCAAAGGCTCATCTTTACTGAAGTTGCTGAAATCGCGGATATACAAGTGTACGAGCCTGTATTTTGGAATGCTTTTGAAGCTGAAGGTTATTTTCGATGAGTTGCTTATAAGAAGCCATTCTTAGATGCAGCAGAAAAATGGGCAATAGCTTATAGAGAGTGGACAATTGAAGATTAGTGACATATAATATGGATAGATAAGTCCTATATAAGATTGAATTGTAAGGGAGGAAGAATATAGATTATACGTTATATAGGAGAAGAGTTTTATGAGGATTGTCTAGTTCCTAAATTTAGAGTAAGAACTCTATTATGATGAGTGGGGATATACGGAAGTAATAGTAGGTATGTGATACTGGTGGTTGTTTCGCAAAAGGAAGATTGGGGTAATGTTAATTCTCAGACTTATTGTAAACATAATAGACATCCGATTTTAATGAGAGTCAATTGGAAGATACTTGGCTTTATTATGGAAGATAGTACTTTAGCTCATAGAACAAAGGCAATACAGGCAGTCTGTGATAAGTATGGAATGGAGTCATTAATTTGTGTACCTTTTCACTTGATTTAAACCCTATTGAGGCGATTTGGAAGATAATTAGGGCACGGCTAAATAAGAGAGTAATAACAGCAGAAGGAGTTTGCCAAAGAAGAGTAGAATACTTTGATACAGGCTGAGATCTTAGAGTTAATAGATAGTATACCTGCTATGGTAATATCGGTTTAAGCATACCAAATAAATCTCTGGGTACGAGAACACGGTATAGCTGCTAATGGTAGACATACAAAATATTTACTAGAAATATATATAGGAATAATAATTGCGAACACAAGAAAAATAGAGTTATTTTTACATGGTATTTGTTAAATTCAAACATACTTCACTTTGCACATTTCACCAAAGTGCACATTACAAAGTAATCCTTCAGCAATAGAACATAGCTATAATTATATAGTTATCCGACTGCAATATATACCAGACATTTACAATTGTTTTATACTATTGGCTAGTTGCTAGTATGTATACCTCAGCAGTCCGTAGATACAATGAATCGTAGGCTACTTGAAATCCATTCTCAATTTTGAGCTAAGTATATTGCTGCAGTTCTTATTAGGGTTTACGGATACTTCTGGGGCAAATACCATATACCTTTGTACTTCTGATTGTTCACTCGGTTAATACTGTCATCTATTGTTAGTTGCTTAAGCTTCCCCTTCCTGTCATTGACAACATCAATCGAACTAGCCAAATTTCAACAAGATAATGCTCCAGTCTATACTATGAAGATTATTAAGCATTTCCTCAAGCTCCAGTTGATAGACCCTCTACGGGGGTGTTGTGCCAACCAGACTACTCCCTACAGCCCCTATTGAGCATGTCCGGATCCATTTTAAGTGGTATCTCTATACAAAGTATCCTAACATTGCCAATACTTCTAGGGGTCCAGATACAATCCTGTACTAAGCTTGCTGAGGTCTTGCTTGAAGCCCGGGAAGCAATTCCAGAGTCTGCATTTGTGTCGTCGTGGAGGAGCATGCCTAACCGGGTGGCCGCTGTGATAGCAGCTAGGGTCCGGTCCAATACAATCCCTTTACGTGTTTATACTGTATAATAGGATGATGGAGACATGCGAACACGCAACAACGACGACTGTAACAAAATCTGCTAGCTTATGATCGTACTGTAAGTACAGTACATATCAATTGTTGCATCTCATTGAGCAAAGGTACAATAGTATTTACGTATGTCTGGCATATCTCAGCAGCCCAGGCATAGGTTGATCACATTCCTATTTCAATAAACCCCAGCATACACCACGAGGCGTTTATGCGTCAAGCGGCATACTCGATCTCGCAGCACAAGGTCTCCCGGGTACGAGACTAGTCACCCGCTACCAGATCTGTTTCAGCTTTGGAGCACGACCAGTGCAAGATGCTTGGGCAAAGCAAAGCGACCTCGAAACGCTTGAGACCAGTATTAGGGCGGCTCATTTGGAACTTTAGCTTAGTCTGGTTGGCACATGCTCCTCTACTAAACTGTATCAGAATCCTTTTACCTTCCTGTGTCACCTGCTATCTATGTGCCATCTTGTATGATTACTCTGTATCCCCATGACCAACTTACATGTCTAAGCCTTCTGCAATAGATTCTCACTGATTCATAGCCACAATGGACGACCCAGTCTGATTGGCACAAACATCACCGTCTATAGGTAGAGATCTGCTGCACTATGCCTTCGGGGCGACGGCGCCAATGACGGTGATGATGAACCAGAGGTTGGCTTTGGTGATAGAGGGATCCCCGTTAGCGGAGCTGAGGGATCCCAGCACAGTTGTATGTACATATAGATCTCGGAGTATTCAAGGATATCAATATGCTACACTCAAAATGAGCAAGCGGATTTCAACATAGCTATACTGAATACAAAGACTGCCAACGTAATCTACGTGTGCAGGGGAAAGTTATGACGCACCCCTTTTTATGCAGCAATCAGCAACAAATATGCAGATATATGAAACACAAGTGATGTCACAGTACGTACTTACCAAACTCACCAATACTTACTGTACCATCCCTCAGCTTTAATGACCCATTGAGGCATAGATTTGCTTCCATACTTCTGCCAAACATTCAGCTATTCTGTTTTTAATAGCCGCTGGTCCACCTGGAAAGGAAGCAGGGTTAGGAAACTTTTGGTGCGAAATCCTCTTTAGGCAGCGCCAGATATGCCCAATAGGATTAAGGTCTAGAGATAGTCTAGAGAGCAAGCTGGATGATCCGCTACTAGTACTGTACTTCCCAAATAGGACACGATTTGAATTGTGGATAGGAGAGTTATATTGCATGAAGATAGGATTAGAATTCCAGCAGCCTCCATATCTACTTTCACTTGTGGTAGAAATTCTTCCATATAGCGCTCTGCATTATTTCGACCTTCTATCATCGCGTAAAGGTATCCCAGTGTAGCACCCCAAAAGCATCTCCAAACCATTATAGTAACTTGTGTGGCTGTTCTATAAACTTGTTAGAATAGTATAAAATAGTGAAGGATTTGTACTTTGGATCTTCGCTTTCATATCTAAATACCCCACTTAACAATCCCGGTACCACCTTTCTTAACACTACACTCATCATTCCAAATATAATTTCCCCACTCCAATAATACCCCGCTCAGATGCCATCGTGACCGCTGGTGGTTGTCTTAACACTGCATGTCCGCAGACTGGTGCTGCATAATATGCAGGGGAGGCGCGCCATAACTTTCTTGTGCGAGACTTCCGCAATATAGTATTCTATATAGTAAAGAGGATTTAAATAGGTTATATCAAATGCCCGGTTGGCTCAGTCGGTAGAGCGTGTGACTCTTAGTATCTCGACACAGGGAATATAATGGAATCTCAAGGTCGCGAGTTCGAGCCTCGCATCGGGCTTTCAGTTTTTTTTCCTTGGCCATGTACTGGTACTCCGCCAATCTTGATTGCGGACTAATCGAGCTACATAAACGGCACAGTGCAACCGGACAGCTAACCTGGGTGGGCTACTATGAGCTTGGCAGTCAGAATGGCGATAGTTAGAACAAATGAGGAAAAGACGTAACAGGTCGATATGTCTGAATTAGCACATGTATCCACTGGTCGAGATGTCTGAATTAGCACATGTATCCACCGCTCAATATGTCTGAATTAGCACATGTATCCACTGGTCGATATATCTGAATTAACACATATGTCGACCACTCAATATGTCTGAATTAGCATATATATCCACCAGTTGATATGTCTGAATTAGTGCCCGCTCGATATATAGTATATTGCTGTCAATGTCTGCTGGCATAGGTGTAAGTCGCTGCCATAGGAGTATGTCACTGCCATTATTGACATAGGGACGTCGGAGGGGTCATTAGAGGTAGACTAGGTTTAGTTACTTGGCTTTGTCACGTGCAAATGATCTCACGAACGCTACAAAAATATTAACTACGAGGCTAGTCGTGTTCCACACTCCACACTTTGGGGGCTAAATAAACGATGGGCGCAACAATAGGTCATGTGACCACGTTACTTGGCGACCCGCTTGAGCTCACGTGGTGCCTCTGATCATTCCCTCGGTCATTTGCTGCTATGGACGAAACCTGTCATTGTTTCTTTACGCCTCTGCTTTTGGTGAATGTTCAGTGGACTGTTTCGTCACATTTCTAGAACTGATCGCACAGTGTCAGAAAAGTAAAAGAAAAAAAGAAAGAAAATACCCGTTCGAATTGGGATCTTGATGTGCACATTGTATGCTACTACCGGTGCCCGGACATGGGTCACTCCCAGAAGCAATCCATTTCACAAATATAATATTACATTCTACAAACACAGCTATGATCAGCTTCGCCATCCAGGAGCAAAGCCTTCAGCTCTCTTACAAGCAGTACGACACTTCTCATCTAGGCCCGAGCCTAGCTTCTTTTGGGATTTCCTACGGAAACAGAGTATCTCTCTCGCTGACCCCCGGCTATCTGACTCAGGAGTCTTAGGTAGAACCCTCGAGGATGAATATGCGGTAATGCGAGAGAAATATGGCACATTACCCTCCACGTTTTGTTTTAGAGACCAGATTCTAATTGTGATATAGAGGCTCCCAAAAACCCGGTTGTGCTTTGCCATGGTTTACTGGGGTTTGACGAGCTAAGGTTGGCCGGAAACCTTATGCCAGGCATTGCCTATTGGCGAGGGATAGGGGAGGGTTTGACTGCACTTGGGGCTGAGGTCATTACAACGGCTGTCCCGGCTCTAGGGTCCATAGAAGTCAGAGCGAAGGCTCTCATGAAGCAAATTGAAGCAAAGGCTGCTGAAAAGAGTGTGAATCTTATAGGGTATTTACCCTCAAAAATTCTACGGCTGTGTAAGCACTAACATCTTCACAGACATAGCATGGTATGAGAACTGATTATTACCAGCTTCGGGCGTCTCCAGCATGTTTCTAACTCGCTTCCCAGGGGTAGGATCTCTAGGAGCGCAGAAATGGTGAGGAATGAGCTGATCCTTGAACGGCAAAGGGGCATTGATAGTCGTTACATGATCGGTCAGTTGAAGCCAGATAAATTCAACGTAGGTAATATCCCTCCATAGACTCCAAAAGGCTAACTATTGGTAGGTTGTTTCTTTGACAACCATTGCAACGCCACATCGAGGTAGGGACAGTAATGGAAGCTGGGTGTGCTTAGGGTATCTAATTAACCTTCCTAGGCTCCTCATTTGCCGATTATGTGTTTGAATTCATTGGCAGTATGCGTTCCCTCCACATCTCATTCACCATCCAGGCTCTGAGCAGACACCTTCACAGAAGAGAGACTGCCAAGGTTATACAAGACCATGGAGAAGATTGGCCTAGAAACAGAGGCCTTCTCACAATTGACGACCTCATACATGCAAAATACCTTCAATCCCGTCTGTCCCGATGTTGAGGGCGTCAGGTAAGTCGAATTGTGTTTATTTGGTCTTGTGTATTCCTCTTACATATGTAGGGCTATAGTTATTACAGCTACGGGGCTATAGCAGAACCAGGGTTATTCTCTCCATTCCGCCAGTCACACAAAATAATATGGGAACGGGAGGGTCCAAATGATGGATTAGTCAGTGTCCAGTCTGCGAAGCACGGGATATACAAGGGTACCCTGATTGGGCCTACACATTTGGACTTCATAAATTGGACCAACCGACTAAAGTGGATGATTATGGGGCGGCGGTATGTACCGAATAACCTCTGTGTCTGTCTTTACATCCTCGCCCTCGGCTAACTAACCTTAAAGCTTCAACGCGGTCGCATTGTATTGTGACATTGCCGGCAAGTCAAATGAATTCAAAGCGATTTGTTTGAGGCTTCTGGCTGACAAGGCGGACTACAGATATGTTAGCCAAAGAGGGCTTATGAAGGTCTCTTTACTCTTTCATACTCATGAACACGCGTCAGGACCGACTGCAAATACCCCTGCCAGTTTGCAGAACGTCGGAGGGTTAATTACACTAGGACTGTACTTTGGTACCGGGGAATGGTTTATCGCAGTAGGCACCTTTGTATGGAGGATTCTCTTTGCTCCCAGTAGCCACAAAGTCTCACTTTCCGCAGTGCCCTAGTACCATTGGCACGGGCACAAATATGTATGTAGGTAGGACATGCATGGAAGCGTACGTAAACCTGGGAGCAGGGCCGGGTTTCAAATTATGGTTTCCTGGAGGGCTGAGGCATGCAATCAATGCTTCTCACAAGACGTCTTCGTGCAGACTGCTGCTGCAGAAGTCGAACATGTTCTTCTGTAATTTTAATATCATTTGTGTAGCATCTACAGTTGCACCCAACCGAGTCCGTCCCTGGCTTGAGGCTTCTCTCAAAGTGAGCAGCGCCATGCCAGGCGCCAAGAATGACATCCCAATCGGGTCTCCTTTGGTATGTCATAATCTGGGTACGACATCCCGGTGCCCGACTCACGGATACCAACTCTGCCATAATATATATACAGAGGCCACGGCCAAGGCACTGTCTCATCCTACATTCAGAGTATTGATAGCCTTGGCCTGTGAGTTGCGAATCGAGACTTCAAGCATACGGCTTCCAGAGCATCATGTCAGTGCAGATTGAGATCGACAAGCAAGGCTCCGTTTTCACCTGCTTGGACTTAATAACAGGCAAGTGATTGTGGCAAACAAGCCTAGTTGACTTTAGGGACTAATTCTGGAAACTGTACAGGCAGAGTCGTTTTCAATGTTGGGAAAAACACAACAGAGACGGTGTCTTCCATTAATGTTAAGCTGGAGGGAGTATCAAAAACGAGGCTCTTAGTACCTAAGGAGAATGAACCTCATGATTCACGGAATAAGAAGGCTCATATTGAGATACACAAGGTCAGTAAAAGGTATTACCATCTATCCAATATTGCCAACATTGATTCTAATTTGGGGATTTTATGTAGCTATTATATCAAGTAAAAACCATCTTTCCTCCTGAACAGGTTAGGAAATCACAAGAAGCCGCTGGTAGCTCCGGCGAGACTGACTTTACCCTCCCTGCGGGAAAACACACTTATCCTTTCAGCTTCCGTATTCCCATCAACAACTCCTGCCGGCCCTTGGACTCGCTGTTCTCCAAACTCTCCATCAAGGAAGGAAATGTGGAATATGCTAAAGATGCAGAGTACCATACAAAGAACACTCTTCCACCATCTCTACACAGCCTGCCCGGGGAATCTCAGGGTGAGGGTGGCAGTATCAGATATTATATCAAAGCCACCGTCAACCGACCGCAATTCTACAAGACGAACGTGAGGAGGGAAGCTTTTTTTGCATTTCTACCGATTGATCCGCCAAGGGCAGCCGCCAAAGGGGAGATCTATGCTCGGAGGGAACACTTATTACACTTCCCGCCATTGACGCCACTACCGAAGAAGAGGGGATTCTGGGGGAAGAGTAAACCTGAAATACAAACTCCACTGCATCCGAATGAGGAGCCGAGGTTTACAATTGAAGCACGACTGCCTTCGCCGGCGGTGTTGGCCCCGAAGGAGCCGTTTGGTTTAAGGATTATCATGGTGAAACTTGCGCCGTTTAAGACGCCAGTAGTGTTGAGGCAGATCCAGCTTAGGCTGGTTATGACGACGTACATTACGGCGCATGAGCATAGTAAGAAAGTTACTCTGACTGTGCCACTGTTTAATACAAGCACGGATTATAGGCTGGGAATACCAATTCCATATACATTTAGCCCAACAGATACTCGCCCTAGGGCGCAATTAGAAGCGGATCCGAGAATATGGGAGAATTGGGTATTGCCGGAGAACATTAGTCCGAGTTTTAGGACGTGTAATATCGCCAGGAATTATCAATTGGAGGTTACGTTGGGAGTTAGCTTAGGGGAAAATGCGGCCGTGGATGTAAGTAAACCCTCGGAAATAATATTATATCATTTAACGGCTCACACTGGGTTAGCAAATCCCCCTCCTCATCCCCATAGAAGTCTACACTGGCTTCACGCCTAGCGCAAAACTCCTCGCAGCACTCAACTACCGCCCAACCAACCCCCACACCAGCGATCCCAAACAACTGTTCCTCCCCCGGCAATACCATTCCCAGCAACATCTCCGCGTTAATTCCTACCCCATCCCTTCCTCTCCACTGACCTCCTCCTCGCGCCCCTTCTCCGCAACCTTTCCAAGCAAACCCTTCCCGAAAATTACTCATACCAACCAACCATCCTCCCCCAGCACCATGCAAGTCCCATTCCCAAACTCCCACCGCACAAATGGATACGAACCCCCCCCACCCACATGCGCTTACATCGATCCCCCCACCAACAGCAGCACCACCTCACCAACCCCCTCTCTAGCATCATCTACATTCCCCCAATCCCAATTCCAATCCCAAACCTACTCACCCAGCTCCTCTTCCCAAGGCTC